CTGGAGGAGAGGATAGTTGAATTGGAGGAAGAGCTGAAGGAAGAGAGGGATGAAGAAAAGAAAAAAGAACTTGAAGAAAAACTAAACAAAGAGGTGGAAATGAGGAACGTTACGCAAAACGAGGTTAAAAGACTCAAGGAGGAAGCAGAGAAAGAAAAATGTGAGCGGGAGGAGGAACACAGAGAAGAGATTGAAGAGATCAGAGAGAACTATGAGGGGAAGGCTCAGGCTGAAGCAGAAAGACACGTGATGAAAATACTGCTGCCTGAACTGTTTAGCAGACTTCAGTCCACATTAAAAACCAAGATACACAATGAATATGAGAGACAGACTGAGGAAAAGAACCATGAAATAGCTGCTATAAAGGAAGCGTGCAGCAGAGAGATAGAGAGAGTACAGAGGCTGAAGAATGAGGAGATGCAGATGTTAATGATACAGATGAGCAGAGAGATTAAAAGAATCAAAACCGAAAATAAGATAAAGACAGAAAGGCTGCAGGGGGAGATGAAGTGGAAGGTTGGGAGAATGAAACTAAACTTGGAGAGCAGTCCACAGGGATCCCCAGGAGAGAAGAAAGGTCATGGAGAGATTCACTGGATCCTGAGGAATCTGGTCATAGTGTCACTGCTGTTTCTTTTCCTTTTTGTGCTGAATCATACTTGTGGTTCTTTCACACCAGAAATGATTCTGGTCTGTTTTGTTCTTTCCAATATGGCCATATTTACCTTTTTCCTGGTTGACTGGGGGCTGAGGAGAGCGATCAGGCTCCTGGACTGAGGGCGTATTCTGAGCTAGCAGCAATTTGCAGGGATAAATAGCAGGGATTAGTTATTCCAGCAGTCAATGGATTTAATGGCTTTCCGTAACATTTTGGAGAACACAAGGATTCCTTATGCTTTTATTGTATTATGGTATATCTGTTTAATCTTTAATTTTTTTTTTTTTTTTCTGAATAAATATGCAATTACTGTCAAGATAAATAGCTTTAAACACAGTTTCCTTTGGCTGCCTGAGATTTTTGCACAGTCTTGTAACTATGGTGAAGCTTGTGGCTGTGAAATGCATAGCAATTTGGACAACACTGGGCATAGAGAGTTCAGAATCTTAAGATTAAGATTACAATTGATTACTTGCAAGGAATGAGAAACAGCTGGGGTGAATGCGAACAAGAGGACACAAGATGGCCAGCAGCGACATCTGCTGGCCAAACAGGAACAGGACAAATCACATGGAGGCAGATCATGACAATGACAATAGGATAACATAGACATACCACTGTTTTGTTAACTTGCAAATGAATTTATTTAGCCAATATCATTGCATCTGGGTGACTTGGAGTAATACAACAGATCACACACAACTGAGGCTCTAATTGTATTGATATCATGGTTAGTTTTATTTCCAGCATACTCAGTGTAATCAATTGAAGGTAACACTTTACTTGACGGGGCACAAATCAAATAGCATTATGCCATTACTTATCAATCAACTAACTACAAACTAAGTCTTAGTTGCATACTGATCTCATGTTAATACATCATTAATGAATTATTATGCATGTTTTATCTCAAGTAGTTACTTATTTGCTGCTATTTCTGTTAATTCTGTAAGCCTTGGTGAACTTCTGAAGGCTCAAGTCATGAATTACACAAGTTAAATAGCAGTCATTTGTTCATAATTTGTTCATGATTTGTACTTCAGCAATTTTCCTGTAGCCAATAAGTGTGTACAATATAGGCATTATTGCATAAATTGCCCTAACTTGTGGTTTATTGCCATTAAACTTCAGATTGTGATGGAAGATTTACAACTTAAAACAAGCCCTTTGTTAAGAATTGTAACTGTGAATGTTAAAATCAACAACACAGTAACATTTTTATGTTTTTCCAACCATTCATGACACTGGGCCAGTGAATTTTTCACTAAAAGTTGACAACATCTGTACTATAAAGCATGACTTGTTGACTTGTGCAAAGGTGACCTGATACCATCTCAAGCTTAGAGGGGAAATATGTTATTTGGCAGAAGCACCTATGTTAAAAATTTGATTCTTCACATCTAATGTAAAATGTGTAGAAGGTAAAAATCTGAGCATATTTTAAGTCTCTCAAACGCTTTTTGTATGATGCAACATTGGTTAACTTCAGAATGAAAGAAAAAGTGTCCGGGTGCAATGTCCTGGAAACGGCACATGGATCAGTGTATCTCATTGTATTAGTTTGTATTGCACACGCAACTTAACTGGTTAAGTTGGATCAGACCAACGATATTGTAAAGGGAAGAATAGGAGACGCACAACATCATAATGTAAATGCCCAGTAATGTTTATTGGGGGGGGGTAAATCCAAATTAAATATTAGGTGGTATATGACCCCCCCATCCCTACACCACTGGATCAGTCCAACATTTCTATATGAGTCTGAAACATATTTCTGCTGATTCCGTACTATACATTTACACAACCTGCACCATTATCTTCAAATAACCTTTACTCAGAGGTTACTCAGAGGTTTTACTTTCAAAACCTCTTTTCTATCTCTGATTTAGATCCCAGCATAAAAATTGCATTGTACTGCGTGATGTTCGACTGCCACCACACCCCATGTTAGTCTTAGGTACCAGGTAGAAGGAACCTTCCTGCCATAATCTGTCTTTGCATTTCCTGTCATGTGACCTGTGTAACCTGATCAGTACCTAGCCTCTTGGCTTACAGCCTCGAGTGGAATCATTTCCTCATGCCTTTCATCGCTGACCGACTTGTATTGCTCTGGTACACATTTTCCTGAAGGGTCGTGAGTAAAGCACAGCAGCTAATGGATTAGACCTTTAGTGAAACATGTTCTTACTGAAATAAAATCACAGTGAAGACAAAGGTAAGAGGTGCCACTTAATCCCTAAAGAATTAATAGAAAATTGCATGGATACTGTCTTAACATTCTGCATGTTGTGTATGTTGATCTTGTGTGTTACATTAATCACAGTGTGTGTATTTGTAAACCCTCTTCACTCCTGTGTATGATGTGGGAAGAATCTGAGAAGACTTTGTTTGAGTGATAATCTGGCTGCGTTGGTTTGATTTTCATAATGGGAACAAACAGGCTGCAGCATAGAAACTGCCCTTATGTTTAGGCAAGCTGGGGAAAAGCTGGGGGCGAGTGGGTGTAGATGTAGGGTTATGTTAAACTAAAGTAACTCGTATAATGAAACCACATTGATTGTACAGTAATGTTTTGTTCTCAGGTCGTGGAGGGCGAAAATGGAGTCCCAAGAATACGGTGAATATATAAACCCATACTCTCTGTCAGCTTTAAAGAAATATAGGCCATTTGTATAAAGGGCATTTGTTTTATATCAGAGGTTGGTCTCCTAGATTTTTGTTCTTCCATTGATAATAAATTGCATCACTCTTAAAATGAAGGGCTGGTACCGTGTGATACTGCGACATGTGACCATGGCATATTTTCCATATATGGTTGTGGCTGCTGGCCAAAAAATATCAACAGTACTGTCATTCATAACGGTGTAGTAGGTGATGACACCCATGGTTTAGCACTGTTGTTGACCTTCAGAAATGTGCTTCTGCCAAATGTGGTCACGCTTGTGGGCTTCTTGTTCAGCTGTTCGCTTTGTGGACCAGCACCGGGCTGAGCTCATCGAGAGGGTGAGGGCGGTGGACGCCATCGGGAGGGGTCTGCTCGCATACGGGTTGGTGCGTAACAGGCTGACCATGCCGTTGAGGGGTAGCAGTCAGAACAAGATGAAGAACATCTACCAAGACCTGGACTTCAGAGGAGCACCTGCGAAAGAGGCCTTTTACAAACTTCTGAAGGAACATGAGCCTCAGCTCCTTCAGGAGCTGGGTAAGCTAACTATGAAGTTTTTCTGCTTTTTAGCCTGTCTTTTAGAAAACAAAATGGCACGTGTTAGTTTCTTTCCATCTTGGGTATGACGTTAAACTGCATCTGGCTCTGCAAGTGGTCCTCCAACTTGCAGGGAAGGATTTTGGGGGTTGCTGGCGGGATTGACACTCCACCCTCTATAAAGCACTTTACGGCATCTAGGTCCTAAGAGGCAGAGATGGGGGCTGGTGTGGTGCTGAGGCATCTCGCACTGCATGGGAGACTTGGGTCCCAGCCCATCCAGGTAGGCATGTGAAACATCTTGTCTCTCCTGCAGGATGAGCTTCGTAAACCCTGCATTTCGGTGGCGGCACAATCTGAGGTATGCAAATCAGAGAGTGGCCAGGTCTCTTTAGGTGGATACACCTACAGGTCGCTCTGATGACTGCCGTACTCAGGGAATAGCTGTTGCTGTGACAGATTGGCTCCTCCTGATGTCTGATGTCACTCTTTTCAACAAGCATATTACGAAGCTCAGGCTAAGGCACTCCTTGGGTGTCTTGTCTGTTGTCTCAGTGTATGCGGCGACTGTGGTGAATGATGACTCGTTGAGAGAGACATTTTTCTTGCAATTTCCCTTGGTGGTTGATGGGTGCCCACAGGGTGACACTCCTCTGGTAATGGGTGACTTCAATGCGACCACTGGCATCGACTGGGCTGGCTGTAAATATTGCGTTGGTCCCCATGAGTATGGAGATCACAGTTAAAGTGGCTCCATGTTCCTTGACTTTGCGAAAGATCAAGGACTGCGGTTCACTGGATGCTGGTTTCAGTGCCCTGAGCCACATTGTTGGACTTGGTACTCCCATACTGGTGGTGTGGCGAAAGAGATCGATCTCAACCTTGAGGGCAGACGGAGGCTCCTGCAGAACTGCAGGGTCCAACAGAAGTGGCAACTCCAGTCTGTGGCTGTGATGGCTCTGAGGGCAGATAAGGTCTGAGGGCAGATCTATGAGCTGGTGACACACCATCTGTGGTCCAGTGATCCACGTCCTGCTTACAAAGGAATCGAAGCATTATGGACATCTGAATCTTTTTCTTGGAGTCTTGCAGTCAGGGTGGGTGAACAGTCCTTACGGATGACACTGCAGTTGTGTCCCGCTGGGCCGGCTACTTTGAGTAGTTGTTTAAAGGTGATCTTCTGGCTAGGATCTTGGACATCTCTGGGTCCACGGTTCTTGAGGCTGATCCTCCAGTCAGCTGGGAACCACCCAATATCATTGAGATTGCACGGGTGGTGAATGAGCTGGGGGTAGGGAGAGATCTGTGGTATCCGAGGTGAACTTCTCCAGGCTGATGGTAAGGCTGTCTTCCTGGCATTGCGGGCAATCTTTGCTTCCATTTGGGAGTCAGGCGTCATCCCAACTGGAAAAGGGACTTGTAGTCCCTATCTGGAAAGGGTAGGGTGATCACCTGGATTGCGGCAACTACGTAACACTGCTCTCATTGCCGGGTAAGGTCCTTACTAAGGTCATCCTTAACAGGATCCATGATCACTTGCTTGCCTATCAGCGGCTGGAGAAGTCTAGTTTTACCTATAAGAAGTCTACCATTGACCACACCCTTGCACTGAATGTTCTCATTGAGTGCAAGTGCAAATATCGGCCGAGGTTCTTTGCAGCCTTTGTTGATTTTCGTAAAGCGTTCGCCTCAGTTGATGGAGTTGCCCTCTGGAACATCCTGAGAGCTGTGGAGTGTGACTCTTCTTATGAAGTCAGCAGACGGATTAGGAGAGCATGGGGGGTCATGAGGTCGCTGGAAAGAGGTGTGTGGAGATCCTGATATCTTTGCAAGAGGACGAAGGTCCAAGTCTTTAGAGTCCTGGTGCTCCCTGTTTTGCTGTATGACTGTGAGACATGGACAATATCCAGTGAGATGAAGACTGGACTCCTTCAGTACATGGGTACTGAATCCTTGGTTTTGCCGGTTGCCAGAAGAATGGTACTTGCCTGAATGCATTGTGCCAAGTGTAAAGTTTAGTGGAGGGGGGATTATGGTGTGGGGCTGTTTTTGCGGGGTTGGGCTTGGCCCCTTAGTTCCAGTGAAAGGAACTCTTAATGCTGCAGCATTCAAAGCCATTTTGGACATTTTCATGCTCCCAACTTTGTGGGAACAGTTTAGGGATGACCCCTTCCTGTTCCAACATGCACAGCAAAGCAAGGTCCATAAGGGTATGGATGAACAAGTCTGGTGTGGAGGAACTTGACTGGCCTGCACAGAGCCCTGACCTGAACCCAACAGAACACCTTTGGGATGAATTAGAGCGGAGACTGTGAGCCAGGCCTTCTCATCCAATATCAGTGCCTGACCTCACAGATGCTTTCCTGGAAGAATGTTCAAAATTTCCCATAAACACACTCCTAAACCTTCTGGACAGCCTTCCCAGAAGAGTTGAAGCTGTTATAGCTGCAAAGGTTGGGCCAACTCCATATTAAAGCCTGTGTATTAAGAATGGGATGTGATTAAAGTTCATGTGTGTGTAAAGGCAGGTGGCCCAATACTTTTAGCAATATAGTATATATCCCAGACCTTGATATGCACGATTTTTACTAGACAGCCAACATTATTCACTGTGGGGGTGGTCATAATGTTTTGGCTCATCGGTATATATACAGCAGTAACATTAACCATTCCTGCCTTTTTATTTTGTCACCATCAACCTTTTCTTGTGGTGGAACATGGACAGAAAATGTCAGTGGAGAGATTCAGAGTCACAGAGAAGAGCTACAACATCTGAAGGAAGAAAGAGAGAAGGAGAGACGGGAGCTGGAAGTGTGGAGAGCGGCCAGAGAAACAGAGGAGATGGAGCTACAGCATCTAAAGGAAGAAAGAGAGAAGGAGAGACGGGAGCTGGAAGTGTGGAGAGCAGCCAGAGAAACAGAGGAGATGGAGCTACAGCATCTAAAGGAAGAAAGAGAGAAGGAGAGACGGGAGCTGGAAGCGTGGAGAGCGGCCAGAGAAACAGAGGAGATGGAGCTTCACCAAATGAGATGTGAACTCCAGAGAGAGAGGGAGGAGGTGGAGAAAATGAGGGAGGAGGTGGAGAAAATGAGGGAGGAGGTGGAGAAAATGAGGGACATGATGGAGAAAGAGAAGGAGTTCATGACCCGGAAGGATAAAACACAGAGTGAAAGTGTGGAAGCACAGAAAAGCCCATTCAGAAAATGTCATAGTATGGAATATATTCTTACATTCAGTAAGTAAAGACACTCTGCTTCCACAATCTAACTGTATTATCCTTTATTCACATAGACTGTTTTAATCAAAGTAATGTTTTGTATCATATAGGTAAGTTATTGCTGAAAGAATTTAGCTAACACTACATTCTTAAAAAAATGCATGTTTGTTTCGAGGACAATGTGTGTTTTGCCTCAGTTACAAAACACGGTCTACTGAATTTAATTTATACAGTACTGTGCAAAAGTCTTTGGCAGGCAAAAAAATTATGTTCATATAATCTACATGTCAGCATAAAACTATGATATTACAGTACAGTATGTCTGTCAACACATGTCAGCTTAGCCATTGCAAAACCCGAGCGTTTGCAGCAACTGTCCAACACAGTTTATTGACTTGACCACTTCCCTACCTTGTTTGGCTACTCAATATCGCACTGAGTTATTTATCTAAGTTAATAAATGAAGTAGATAGAATAGATTGAGATCTTTATATTAAAGGTGTTTTAAGTGTAAAAATAAATGATAAATTATTCAATACTATAACACAATAAAAAATTACACTAAAATTTATATTGCACATAGTCTAAAGTGCAGCATAGCCCTACCTATTCAGCACTGTATGTATTAAATGGCCAAACAGAGTTCTAGATGCACATTGCAGTATATGGTAAAAGCTATTCTTAAATCTGTTTGTATGAGGTTTTGGAACTGAAATGGTGTTCATCTAGCCATCTATGGAAGCATATGTGTAGCAAAATTCAATTTGCAATGCAATATGCAAAATGGCAATACAATATGCAAAATGACAATAAGAAACTTCACAGAGGCATGTATCCCTGCTTGAAAAAAATAAACAAACAAAAAAAACAATAGATCCCTGCCCAAAACACAATAGAAAATAAGTAATGGATTTAATGGTTATAATGGGAATTGCATTGGTTTTAATGGTGTATACTGGTATGTGATGGATTTTATTGGTGTTAAATCCTATTGGAAAAATGCCCAAAACATACTACAAAAAGGAATTTTGTAATGGTTTTACTTGAAAAAGTTAATGGTTCATAATGGTATTATAATGGAAACATTAGAATTTCTGTGATGATTTCTATTGGGCTTCTATTGTTTTGTTTTGTTTTGTTTTGTTTTTTTTCAAGCAGGGAAACATGCCTCTGTGAAGTTTCTTATTTACTCAAGTGATCTGAATTCCATAGTTCAATTTTTATCAGATTATTCAAGTCAGCCTATGTGTTTCTATGATGCTTCAAAAACATTATTTCTCTGTTCACGCTCCACTTCATCTGGCAATGAATTCAACGATCTTATCAGATCTCCAGCCGCCATGTTTCAAACGATCTCAACGTAACACGCTTCCGCCAATCCCCGCCTTGACGCAATGATTGCCGTAGGGTGGGCGTGGTCAGCTCGGAATGCATTTTCAAAGCCGCATTGAATTTTGCTACAAATATCCCACGGCGTCATGATGAAAATGCAATCGTAAGTGTCCTAACTGTTAGTCTAAATGCATTTAGGACAAATAACATTTAAATGATAATTTTGCTACTGTTTCTGCTTGGACACGTTACACATATCAAATCAATTTGGGTTATACATTTTCATTTTCATTTTGCTACTTATAAAGCATTAAAATAGTATGCACTTTACAACTTAAGACTACTGTTGGAAATGGCAAATGTAAATTATATAATTTAATTTTCAATTTCATTCTGCACCAAATTTTGCACGCGTGGAGGTGATGGAAAATGTAAATTTAAATACAGAATTACATTGCCATTTTGAATATTGCGTTGCCATTTTGAATATTGCATTGTCATTTTGCATATTGTATTGCCATTTTGCATATTGCATTGCAAATTGAATTTTGCTACACATATGCTTCCATAGCCATCCAGCAAGATTTCAGCAACTCTTTGATAACAGAAGAATTAAAATTTTTTATATGTTACTGTTAATTGGCATGTTAAATTATTTTTTTCCCTAATCAAATAAACACTTACTACCTTGATAAAGAGCCTTAAACCTTTTCTTTGACTGCCTTAGACTTATGTACAGTATTTTATGTCTTAGCATAATATATGGGGCCCATTGTCCCACAGAAGGAACAGGCCAATCCCCACCCGGCATACAGTCTTTGACTCCTCCTCATTTCCTGTTGCAGCTGCTGGAGAAACTCCTGGTACAGACGCCTCCATACCGGCCAGTGTCCCTGAGCTCCGGCTGGTGCTTCTGGGGAGAAATACAGCTGAGAAAAGCTTAATAGCAAATGGCATCCTGGGCAGAGAGGTGTTTGTGTCTGGGACGCCCTCACCGACAAAGGCCCAGATGAGCAGCCAGAGGAAACACGGGACCATTGCCGGGAGACGGGTGGTGGTGGTGAATACTCCAGACTGGTTTAGCTCTACGGTGTCCCAGTTTGAGCTGTGGCAGGACGTCAAACACTGCATGGAATTGTCAGCTCCAGGACCCCATGCTTTTCTCTTGGTCACAGAGATGCACGAGTATGGAGAGGTGCAGGCAACAATATTAGAGAAGATGAGGGAGATACTTGGAGATGACTGCTTTCCACACACCATCGTCCTTCTGACTCATGCCAGTGAACTGACAGAGAGCATCACTGGAGGCTTTGTGCATACTGGCAGCCCAGACCTCCAGAGAATAATTACCAGATGTGGTAACAGGTATCATATCCTCAACACCAGTAACAGGCCTGAAGGCCATCAGATCCGCAGGTTGCTGGAGACCATAGAGAAGATGGTTGAAGAAAACCAATGGAGCTTCTACAGCAGTGAAATGCATATGGAGGTGATGTCTCAGATTCAAGAGGTGGAACAAAAGCTCCAGAGGGAAAGAGCTGAGAGGAAACTGAGAGAAGAACTGGAAGCGAAGGAGAAGTTTGAGAAGGAGCTGCAAGAGACTCTGAGGGAGAAGGAGGTCGTGATTCAGGTACAGAAAGAAAAGATTATAGTGCTGGAGGAGAGGATAGTTGAATTGGAGGAAGAGCTGAAGGAAGAGAGGGATGAAGAAAAGAAAAAAGAACTTGAAGAAAAACTGAACAAAGAGGTGGAAATGAGGAATGTTACGGAAAAAGAGGTTAAAAGACTCAAGGAGGAAGCTGAGAAAGAAAAAAGTGAGCGGGAGGAGAAACACAGACAAGAGATTGAAGAGATCAGGGACGAGGAGAAGGCTCAGGCTGAAGCAGAAAGACACGTGATGAAAATACTGCTGTCTGAACTGTCTAGCAGACTACAGTCCACATTAAAAACCAAGACACACAATGAATATGAGAGGCAGACTGAGGAAAAGAACCATGAAATAGCTGCTATAAAGGAAGCGTGCAGCAGAGAGATAGAGAGAGTGCAGAGGCTGAAGAATGAAGAGATGCAGAAGTTACAGACAGAGATGAACAGAGAGATAGAGAGAGTACAGAGGCTGAAGAATGAGGAGATGCAGGAGTTACAGACAGAGATGAACAGAGAGATAGAGGAGATGAAGAGGGAGATTGTGAGAATGAAACTAAACCTGGAGAGCAGTCCACAGCTTGAGGGAACTCCAGTCTGAACTCCAGCTGTGTGCATGTGCAGTCTGTATGTTCCTCCTGCGTTTGTGTGGGGCTTTTAGATGATTGTTTCTTACGTAGATTAATGGATGACTGCATTGCCCATTTTGTGTGAGTCTGTGTCTGCTTGTGATTGATTATACATTTTATTTTGTGTATGTGTGTCTCTTAACCAATGAATTACTTTACTCCCAAAAAATTCTACTATGCTCCATCAGGTGGCGGTATCGCTCCAACACACTGCTACAAAAAAAAATATTTAAATTTCATTTGAGTACCTAGTAAACAAGATGTAGTATTGTGCAAATTAATTGTTTTAATATACGTATAAATTATGTTTTATGTCTATATGGGTATGTCAGCTTAGCCATTTCAAGACTTTTTTGAAAGTCACCCCAGTATTTGCAGTAACCGTCCTATATACCTATGAACTTGTTGACTCGTCCACTAGTCCACTTGGCCAATCAAAATCTCATCGAGGTATTTAACTAATTAAGGAAGGAGCTGGTGGTTAAGTTCAGCAAATACATGGCTGTGTTTCCCAGGAAGAGGTTATGAAATAAAGCAGTGTTCTCCTGGCCAACCAATAAGCTATCCGTAGCATTTCGGAGGACACAAGGATACTTTCATAGTATTTGTATATTTTTTTCTGAGCCGGTGTACATTTACTGGACAGATAATTAGCTTCTGGCATGGTTTTCTTTGGCTGCCTTTGACGTTTGCACAGTCCTGCACAGCAACTGCATGATTAGCCAATGGGCGTCCCTCAATACCACGAACCTTGCTAACCAAGAATAAACTTGGAGCGCAATTAATTATGGGATTAGTCTCGTTTGGCGAGGCTGCATTCGATGTATCGTTGATATTTTGGGCAGAGATGGGCAGTATTTCAACTAAATGCATTTAAAATACGTATTTGTTACTTTTAAGTATTTTTTAATTTGTATTTCACTGGACAGAAAAAATCATTTAAAATACTTTGAGAGATTGTATTTTATGTATTTAAAGTACTTCATAAAATATGCAATTTCATTTATGTCATTTTAAGAACCTTCATCACTAGGCTTACAGACTTTTAAATACAACCTATCTCCGTCTTTAGCTAGATGCAAGTAAATCATGTGACACATGCTATTGGGCCAGGCATGCTGGTTACTTCGTTTTTTCCATGAACAGTAATCCAAGGAAAGAAGCTGCTTTGTTGCTGGGTGCAAATTGTCTTAATGTAAAGTATGCAGTAAAATATACTACCAGACATTTTTCACTGAATGTCAGTATAGGACAGAAAAGTAGAGCAGTTAGCGAACAGCAGTGCTGTGCTGTAGAACTTGTGAATTGCGCCATGTGGCCGACAGGGAACAAGGGAAATCACAAAGACTGACAACAGGAGGGACGGGTTGAGCAGCGACACCTGCTGGCCAGAACTGGGAAGGGACACAGAGTGGGACAACAGGAGCTGACCCTGACACAAGTTTAAAAAAGTAACACATCACAAGGGAGAGAACGAGGAGGAAGGGATGCAGGGCCTGACCGTATACGTATTCGTCATATACCGTTACCATTTTATGTGTGTTTTCATATTTTCAAATTACAATTACTTGTATTTTAATTAAATACAAAATTCTGGTGTGAGAAAATGTATTTTATTTTGTTACTCTTGATGAGCAAGTATTGTAATTTGTAACGAAATACTTTTTGATGTATTTGTGCCCATCTCTGATTTGGGGTGGGAAAAAAACAACATATAGGGATTTTTAACGTACTCTGTGGGTGAATCTCAATATGCACACTTGACCGTACTTGTGTTCTCATGAACCCGTTCTGTGTCATCTTCCATTGCCGAAGACCAGTTCCAATACTAAAAACACGAGTACACGAGGGCAGCGTGTACTCGTGTACTCGTTGGTCTTGCTCCGCCCCAATATCAAGGATATATCAGTTGCATCCTCACTGAATGAGACCAATCCCATGATTCATTGCACGCCAGGTTCATTCTTGGAAGGCAAGTTAGCAAGACTGGTCTTGCCAAGAACCACAAGTAAAGTCTTTGCATTCTTGGTATTGAAATTCACCCTGTACCTCTGGCCTTAAAACTGATGACGTGCAACGGGTACATGAGAACAAAAGTATGCATTTTGAGAAACACCCGATGTGTCTGTGTGTGTAAGTGCAATGATCGTTCACGGAACTGTTCATAATCCCAGTGTCATGTGACCTAGCAGAATTTTGCTGAACAGGTTTTGCATATAACCAAACTCGCATTATAGAGGTTGCTGCCATATTTCTAGTTATTATTCTTAAATGGTTTTTAAGGTGTCGGTTTAAGAAGTTCTAGTATTATTCTGCCAGTATTTATTTTGTGTGAACATGTAACACACACAAATGTACACAAACACACACAATGTGATAGCATAAAGATACACCACTGTTTTGTTAAGTTGCAAATCAGTTTATTTAGCTGATGATACAGCACCTGGGTGACTTGCAGTGATGCGTCACATCATAGCGGTTCAGAAGATTAGAAGGTCTTGATTTTGATTGCATGATAGACACCTGGAGGAAGTTTTAAGGGGAGAGGACCTTGTTTAGAGAGGGAGAGACGGCGGGGTTGTGTTCGTGAAGCAGAGACGTTGTTGGACGCTCAGTTGACAAGAAAGGATGTTTGGGGCCATGTTGGATTGACTCTCGGATGGAGTGACTGGCGAGGGACGTGCAGGAAGACCTTATGTGGGACGTGCATTTTTTTGGTGGGCTTTCGGGACGCCGATGCCCACAGACTGATCCACGGACACACGGGAGGGTCTTGGCGGCTGCTGGACAGAGGGAAGTTCGGTGATTGTTTTAATCCTGTTAAGTGAACTGTGTGTGTGTGTGTGTGAGAGAGAGAGAAATTAGATTAGATTAGATTTAGATTAGAAGCTTTATTTGTCATTGCATAAAATACGTAGTATTAAACACAACGAAATTTAGAGTTGCCACTCTTAGTCAGTGTTTTAAAACCAATATAGTTAAGAATTAACAAATCTGCCCCAAGGCAGCCTACCCACACTCACTCATACACTCCCCCCAAACCTATTCACTCCTCTCA